TCTGTGGTCTCTTTATACTACGCCAAAATACAAGAGTAAGTATAATCGTATCTTCTGATTTATTGTATATTGTTTACTATATCAAGTTATGATTACTATACTATACTGCCAATATTCGTGTATTGTTAAGTATTACCAACTATATTATAGTTGTAGCACGAATGGGTCGGCTCAACCGAGGAAGGATCACGCTCTCACAGAATACTGGCGCAAAATAGCACTTTAATGCTACTGCTACTATGTTTCGCATGATGAGTGTAGAGAACTGGAGACCTCTTTTACTGGATAAATGTAGATATCCATGGGCCACAGAACCCACTAAGTATCATTTAGATGTGTTCTTTTATCACCTTTCACTTATAAAAAAACATTGATAGTTCCGATGAAACGCAGAAATTTTATAGGTACTCTTTGGTGTAACTCGGTCACATTATCTCTGTACTTCGCTCGATGATGTCCACAAACTAATAAGAGTACTATAGTTCATAAAAGATAGCTTGATCTCTGCGACAGCTGTCAGTAAAATCACGCCTGTGAAGTCCTGAATTTCTTAGTAGTACAGACAGTACCTGTGACTGTCATACTTTATGGGCATGCCGACCTAATAAGTGTTCTAAGATGTTAGACAACCATATTGATGCGATCGGGGCGAGCGCTGCGCGGCGTGGTGAAGGGGGCGCGAGTTGGGCATCATATTACAGTGAGGTGCAGAGATATTGTGACCGTGTTGTACCGATATGTCTCGTGTATGTGGACTATGAGTAAGGTATGAATTATTAATTAAATAGACTTAGAATATATTGGCGTAGTATTAACATCAATAGCGAATACATTACCCATCTTTGAATTGCCGATGATATTTTATTATTATGACAGAATCGCTTGGGGACCTTAGAACTATGCTCAACGACTTCAGTAGTGTTTCCTAAGGCAGGTAGTTTTTTTAAAGTCTTAAGATGAACATAAACAATATAAAAATCATGTCTAACGGGACTAACGGTCTAACGTCCAATATATTAGACCTATACCAGTAATTGTTGGGAACACTATGCTCGAAGTTGTTCATGAATATATGTACCTGGGATTTAATTTCCCATAATGTAAGTGTAACTCCAACTTCGACCAAGAGGTCAACCAAAGAATCCAATTCACCTAGACTGCGTTCGGGAATCTGTGACAAATCTGATCAATAGGGTAATTAGGGTATTTAAATTTTTAAATAGTGTTTTGAATTAATACTAGAGTGATAACGAACTAGCATAATTTTAATATAACTTCTTTAAAAGTAAATAGTACCATAAAAATTACTTTTAATACATCGTTTTAAGTTTTTTTTGTTGTCACTGCACTAGTAAATAGAACGATTTATATTATAGAACGATTCGTCCGAAGTGCAAAATAGATCTTCGGTTCAGCGTGGCGGTTCAACAACATCAAAAGTACAACACCATGTTTGCAACCACCTTTTGACACAGTGCAATCGTGGCACTGGCCACCTATCACAGTCTCTTCCTGTTCATTCACGACAAGTATAACTGCATTTGGCTTAGAACGCACTTTGTGTTCTGGTCATATTGTACACTTAACTATACATGTGTTTTGCACTCTCTTGAGCTGCACATAGCATATTGCGTCATTCCCGTAAGATTCTCTTCAGGACCTGAAAATAAAAATTACGTTATGTGAGATAAACATAATTATGTATGTATTATCAAAAGACACTCTGATCTGGTATTATGTTATTGTATAAACAAAAGTTTGTATTAGGTACCTACTTACATTGATATTTTAACTTTTTTTGTATGAATGCAAATTTTTCTGCATGAATGGGATTGCATTCAAAAAAATGTTTCACCGTCGATGTATTTAGCCTTAGTAGATTAGTACTTTCTGCTTTTACGATGTAATACCATTACAATAAAATGCGGAATAAACGCCAACAAACGTAACGATCGCTTGAAATTTTTTGAAATAACCAAAGCACATTAGCTTCTTTACTATTGAATCTACGACACGACGGAATCTAATATGGTGGATAGCGTTAGGTCATTTAAGGCACAGACAAAAATACATCTTAAAACTAAATTACAAATTTAGTTTTAAGATGTATTCAAAGCATTTTTATGAATAGAAATCAACAGTTCTCGTTTACTTTTTACAAAAATCTATCTATACGTTTTTTTACATGGTGTAAAATACTCTATTCCTCAAAAGCATAAGACATATTATGTGTAAAACCGGTGTTGTCACTGATGATTCATTTTTAAATTCTTAGACAAGTGTACAGTGCAAGCGTACATTTTAGTGTGTAAGCGATTTATTTAGGTCAACATAATTTGCGTCATTCACTTTAGTTTTTAGCAATGGACAGTTGACGTTGTCGCTCAGAACACGATAGACGCGTTCTATATCATTATCAATATCATTATATAATATCATTATTTATTTTAAATAAAATCATTTATCATTTAAAGGTGTTCCGTACATCTTTATGGTCCTTCGAGCTCCGTAGCGGGACCTGAAATTCGTGTTTTAACGACCGGAAAAAGTGTTTCCGCTCAGTGACCTATTGCGACATAGTGCACTAAGTGACGTGTGCAATAGCTTTCCAGTCTGTACTAATAAGTGTGCAGCATCATTTCATTATCAATAAGCTCCGGCCATCGGTGTCACATACCTACGTTCACTGGCAATTATCATCAGTGGGTATCATTTAAGGATTTGTTTTGCGAAGCAGTTCATACCAATCGAACCTTGTCAAATGCCCAAAAAATGCAGTTTTTGAAATGTAAACTTAGAGGAGAGACAGCATCTGCATATCAGTTCGGACAATTATCAAGTTTGTTGGGATTAGTTGAATCATCGATACAATAATACCAAATTGATTTTTGGGTCTCATATCAACATTCTTTTAAATATACCTATCGCTCAACAGCAATCAGCAGCACATATTAAGAAAATTTATGACAGCGTAAACGAAAGCTTAAATGCCATAAAAAATCTAGGCATAGACATAAGTTCATGGGATCCTTTGGTGGTACATATATTGTCTCAAAAACTAGATGCCGAGACTCACAAAGACTACATCGAATCCCTAAAGAATCCTAGGGATTTACCAACCTTAGCAGATTTTTTAATTTTTTTGGAAAATAAATTTACGTCACTAGAATCATCCCGACGCAAACAAGACTCCACAACAAAATCTTCTCAGCCTGAAACAACATCTCATCAAAAGAAGCCTCATTATTTTAAATCATTTACCAGCAATCAAAATCAAGTCACAAATTATGCACAGAAAAACTCACAAACAGGATGTCCACTATGCAAAAATGAAAACCACGGCATATTTCACTGCAGCAACTTTCTCAAATTACAACCAACGAAAAGGCGAAATATAATTGCGAAATTGAAATATTGCTTCAATTGTCTTTACGATCACTACGGCAAAAATTGCATATCGGCAAAACGTTGCCGCGAGTGTAATGGCCGACATAACACACTCATACACGAGGCCTACGTGAAGCCGTTGACCTCAACAACAGAACAACGTAGAAATGCTAGCAACGTGTCACAAAATAATATAAATGAAACCCTCTTAGCAACAGCACTAGTAAAAGTACAGTGTGTTAATGGCACTTATGTCAAAATTCGAGCGCTGATTGATCAGGGTTCCCAGACCTCCCTGATTACTGAGAAGGCAGCTCAAATGTTACAACTTCCTCGACAGAGGTGCAAAGGTGTCATTTTCGGAGTAGGAGCAAAGGAAAACAACTGTAAAGGTGTTTACATTAACATAACTTGCTCATCGGCTTACAGCGACTATCGATTTACATCAGATGTGTTTATCATGAAAAACTTAATTAACAATCTGCCCAACAAGACATTCGACAAACCAGACTGGTCATATCTAGAAAACATTCAACTCGCCGATCCCGAATTCAACGTGAGCCGCCCAGTAGACTTGTTGCTGGGGGCGGACGTCTATTCTTCTATCATATTAGTCGGTATCATTTCATCACAACAATCACAACCTGTAGCACAGCAAACACGTCTCGGGTGGATTTTATGTGGCAACGTAAAATCCTATCAATGCAACGTTATTATGAACAATATAGATGAGATTCAACGTTTCTGGGAGATAGAAAACATACCTGACGAACTCACCACGACCCAAGAAGATGCTCAATGCCTGGAGTATTTCAAAAACACGACAACAAGACAAGAAGATGTTAAATACATAGTTAGATTGCCATTTATATCAGAAGTAGTTCAAAAATTGGGAGAATCAAAATCAAGAGCAATAGCGCAGTTTAAACAGTTAGAAAAAAGATTTACGTACCGAAAAGATATTGAAAAAGAATATAAATCATTTATCCACGAGTACTTGGAATTAGGTCATATGAAAATGTCGCCATGCAACAAGACGCCTGTCTACAGTCTGTATTTACCACATCATTGCATTCACCGACCGGAGTCAACAACAACTTCGCTTCGAGTAGTCTTTAACGGAGCGTCAAAAACTTCGAGCGGCTTAAGCTTGAACGACGTGATGCACCAAGGTCCCAACCTGCAACAGGACCTGTTATCACTAATTATCACCTGGCAACAGTACCAATATGCCTACACCGCTGACATCGAGAAAATGTTTCGGCAAATTCTCATTCACGAAGAAGATCAGAGATATCAAAGAATCATATGGAGAAATTCACCAACTGAAACTTTACAAGAATATCAATTAGCTACTGTCACATATGGAACTAAAGCAGCACCATTTCTTGCCATGATGGTATTGAAACAGCTAGCCAAAGATGAAGGTCATAAGTATCCAATCCATCCAAACACAATAAAGAGCGGTAACCGCTCGTTAAAGTTTTAATGAAATTTGGTTAGAATTTGAATCGGTTTACAAGTACAAAATGCTCTACAATCAATAGCTTACTGCAGTTTAAAGTTTTATTGTAAGAGGTCTTTTCTCTTTTAACAACTTTTCAGTTTTCACCATGGCGGACGACGACTTTAGTAAATTGCTACAACAAGCCGAACAATTAACTACTGAAATCGAAGGAAATGAGGAATTACCCAGAGTAGAACGATCTTTGGGTCAGGTTCTTGAGGCATCACATGAATTATATTCCAGAGTTATCCAATCTGGAGTTAATGATATCCAGGCGTAAGTATTTCCAAGTGTAGAGTGCAATTGAAAGCCCAGCAGCGAAGGTCCTGCAAGAACATTTTTATATGGACGACCTGATCAGTGGGGGTCATGACCTCGCATCAGCTAAAAAGTTACAATCAGACTTAAAAAACTTACTAAAAGCAGGTGGATTTAATTTAAGAAAATGGTCAGCCAATACACCGTGTCTTCTAGAGGGAGTCAGCACAGCAAATACCAACCAGCAAATATATGACTTCAAAACTGAAGTATCTACAAAAACCTTAGGCCTGCAATGGCTTACGCAATCAGATCAGCTGACTTTTGACTTGAAGATCGATTTATCAACATCAAAACTAACGAAACGAAGCTTGTTATCAAATATCTCAAAGCTCTACGACCCAGTAGGATTCTTAACGCCAGTTAGCACAAAATTGAAATTATTATTCCAAAATTTCAATTTTGTGCTATTTGGCAATATGACTTAAAATGGGACGACGAGCTTCCTCATGAGATTCAAGTGGATTGGACGAAGATCAAAGAAGATATCAAAAATATATCACAGATACGTATACTAAGATGGTTAAAGAACAACAAAAATGACGTCATCATTCTTCATGGGTTCAGTGACGCGTCGATGAACGCATACGCTTGCGCAATTTATTGCAAGATAGTTCGTGAAAAACAAGAGGGAAGTAAAAACATATCCGTCGTCCTCGTTACAGCAAAATCCAGGCTAGTACCACCGAAAAAGAAGATCAGCTTACCTCGCTTAGAACTGTGTGCAACCCTACTTTTATCAAAGCTCATGAAAAAGGTGAAATCATGTTTGGCAGATTACAATATCAAAATGTTTGGATGGTATGATTCGACAGCAGTATTGGGTTGGTTGCAAGGAGATCCGAAACGCTAGAACGTTTTTGTAGCCAACAGAGTAGCTAAGATCACAGAAGTTCTACCATCGGAATGTTGGCGCTATGTCAAGGCGCAGGATAACCCAGCTGACTGTGCCAGCCGAGGAATCAGAACGAAACAGCTTCATCGACATCAGTTGTGGTGGCATGGACCACCGTGGTTATCATACTCCGACGATGATAACGTAAAGAAGATCACTTACACCACCGATGAAGAGGTCAAAACCATAAAGCAAGTACACACCACAACCTGCTCAAGCGAAGACGACGTCATTACCCAATTAATAAGCAAGCACAGCAGTTTCACACGAGTGACACGAATATTAGCCTACATACTACGTATAAAGCAAAATAATAAGCAAAGCTATTTAACAGCACAAGAATTACAAAAGGCAAAGCAAAAAATTATCAAGCACGTACAAAGCAAGGAGTTTGGAGAAGATATCGGCTATTTACAAAAGTATAACAAAGCAAGGCCAAATAGCAAATTATTACCTTTAAATCCTTTTATCGATTCTGAAGGTATGTTGAGAATAGGTGGTAGACTGCAAAACGCTTCGATCAGCAAAGAAATGATGCATCCCCTTATCATCCCCCACGAGAGTCACCTGACACACCTACTCATTGATCAAGCCCATAAAATGACATATCACGGAGGAGCCCGTGTCACCTTAGCGTGGCTACGACAACAGTATTGGGTCCTAGGTGGGAACAGAGCAATCAAAAAACGCCTGCGCAACTGCGTAACCTGTAAAAAACACAACCCTACAAAACATTATCAGCTTATGGGCGATCTTCCTGAAGCAAGAATAATTCCGTCGAGACCATTTCTTCGAACAGGGGTGGATTTTTCAGGTATTGTGGACGTAAAATCAAGTAAAGGCAGAGGAATCAAGACCTTTAAAGGATACATAGCAGTGTTTGTTTGTATGGTCACCAAAGCCATACATCTTGAGTTAGTATCCGATTTAACTTCATCAGCATTCTTAGCAGCATTAATAAGAATGGCGGCGAGGCGTGGCACACCACATCACATTTACAGCGATAATGGTACGAATTTCGTTGGTGCCAACCGAATCATCAATCAAGAAATAATTGATCTAAAATCCATTATCACAAATGAGTTCTTATCAGAAATAAGCGAAATGAATATCACATGGCATTTCAATGCTCCATCATGGCCCAGTGCGGGGGGTCTGTGGGAAGCGGCTGTGAAGAGTGTTAAATACCATCTTCTCAGGGTCATCGGCGAACAAAAACTCACCTTCGAGGAGTTCTCAACACTGCTAACACAGATAGAAGCCTGCCTGAATTCCCGACCGCTCTGCGCTATCACTGAAGATCCAAATGATATCAATTACCTGACTCCATCTCACTTTCTGGCCAGCGGTCCAGTTTTAAGTATCGTGGAGACAGAGAAAGACGAAAGAACACGTTGGCATATGACGCAGAAGATACTCAATGATGTTTGGAAGCGCTGGAAGTCTGAATATCTGACAGCATTATCCGCCAGGAACAAATGGCAGCAATCAACTGAAAATATCAAAATTGATGACATTGTAATCATTCATGAAGCAAACCTACCTGCTGGGAGATGGGCATTATCATTTAAAGGTGTTCCGTACAACAAGATTCTGCTGCCCATCTACTGTTATAGTTTCCTTCTGATTCTCTTACGCCACCCCTACGCGAAGATTATATTATAATTTAATATATTATCTGCGAGACAATGGGAACACAGTCGCACTCTTCCGCAGCTTCACGAGCGCCTACTGCTCTCTGACGGTCTCTTCTCGAGAGAGTTTCACTCATCTCATCCCTTAAAAAACACCTTTAAAACTCGATATTTCGGGTTTGATACCTTTTGAAATAATTATATCACCAAAACTTGACTGAGAGAATAGTTATTTCCATATTTGACGTTTAGAATAATATCCTCCAGACCAAATTTTGGAAACAGCGGCCAGTCTCAACGGAGACTAGCTATCTGCGCAGTATAGGATTATAGTCCCCGATCGAATGCGCAAGCACAAGTGCACTCTCTATTCCCTCACTCTCATAATCCAACAGGACGGTTATTCAACACGCCCGGAGAGAAATCAGGCGCAGGACTAACGGTTTTACGTGCTTTCCGAGGCTCGGGAGTTAAACACCGCCAACTGACTGACTACTAAATTTTTTTATAGAAAAACCATATAACTAATTTGAAGTCGCCCCGGGATTTGAACTCGGGACATCAAAATCAGTAACCGACCTTATGACTACTAGACCAATAAGGCAGTGAAAAAATTATTACGATCTCCATAATATGATACGTTATAATTATTAGTTTTAAAAATTGATTGATTTCAACTTTTACAAAGTATTTTTTCACTTGAAAATGACCCTACATTATAAACCACAATCATCTTGCCTAGTGGGTAACTGCTTCTTTCTTCTCTTAAGATTTAAATTAAGTATATGTCACAGCATTACATTTTTGTTAGTACGTAACACTAAACTGCGGAATATATTTCTTTATACATGGAATTATTTTCATTGCATGTTTTTATATCGTGGATCCAAAGAGGACTAAAAAGTTGTTAATTTATTTTAAGTTACCTATTAATAAATTACTAAAACCCACCATGAACTTAAAAAAACACATTTAAATTGAAAATAAGCCTCTGAATTGAGATTAAGCTTTTTTATTTTAAATTTCCTGAAAATATAACAAGATACTAAAGCTACTTACTTAAATATAGCCCTTACGAATAAAGAGTGGGATAATATATGGCGATTCATAGAGCCTGTATCGTCAACATGTACAGTACCAATTGCGAAACCCCGCTAATAACGATATATCATTATAACGTTATATTATTCGGTTAATTGGAATTTTTCTATTAATGTGAAAAAATTTGAAAAATCTGTATACGGGAATAAGTACATTAATCTAAAATTAAATTTATAATTTTGAACTTGCGATCGTTTTGCCTGGATGGTTTCTAATAATGTGGCGTTATTTAGACTAAAGATAATGATTAAAGTCCATTTATTTTATCTTACCAATATTTCTATTTTAATAAAATCTCTAAATTCTTTGGATAAAATTTAGTCTAGATCCCTCCTGATATTATGCTTTATTCTTTCGTGAAGTTTTATTACAATCGGTTAAGCCATTCCGAAGATTAGCTCGGACAAACAGGCAAAGGAAAATTTTATAAATGGATACTTATTTCTCAATGGCAAAAATAAATTAAACTGGACTGATTTTTTGCCGTTTATAGTATTTTGTTATATAGTCCAATAACAAGTTAGACTGAAGTTATAGAACGTACGAAAAACACATCTCGCAACGTATTTTTTATGCAGTCGTTTCCGGTGGGTATGAGTATAGATAGCGACAGTGTGCAAGCGAGAGGTGAATAGTAGCGCCGCCATTTTCAATCTCATTCTTTAACTGCACGGGTAGTATAATATTTTATTCCGTTTTAGATACTTTCTACTTAAACTCTTTGGCTTGTACTACGTTAGTAGTCTTATTAGTTTGTGGCTTGTACCTTGTTAAATTTATATTGGATGCCTAATTAAGTTAATATGTTTACTTATTTTAAATTGTTTATTTGCTTATTATAATGAAAATAACAATTAAAATTATATTTTTTACAACACGACCAAATTTCGTTTATGATCACATTAGTAAACACATTATTAAATGACATAATTTAAAACAGGGCTTAAAGCGCTCGATGTGCTGCAATCTGTTTTCGAGTTTTCAATTCAATTTCAAATTCAATGACAAAGACGCATCCAATCCAACATCCATATACAGCAGTGTAGTGCAGTGTATAGCATAATATTTTTAGATGTAGAAAATAAGTGTCATCTGCATATTTATTTAAATCAAAGTTGTTTATATCGTGGACATAAAAGGTAATGTTATTGTTATATTTAATATTATTTTACGCGCATTTTATGGTATTACTTTATAGTAATTGTAAACTCGTTTGTAGGTTAGAGTAGTGCGATATAATATGCAGAACAACCCCCAGGAGCTTTCATGGCAGGCGATCCAAGCTATCGTGGGGGTTAAACTACCACCGAATGTGTTACGATTCGACGATATTGGATTCCATTTAGTCAATAATTCAGTTTCTAGCGCTGAAGATTCCGACTCTGATGTAGAAATTGTTGAAAATGATTGGGAGTCCGACTACAACATATCCTCGAAGCCTGAAACCTCGGACAATGAAAAACCATCACCGGACAGAGAACAAAGCGAGTCACCTATTCTGCATCTCGTAGAGCCAGATAATAACAATTCAGATAAAAATATGTTAGATTACAGAGACTATTTAGTGAAAATGGATACCAAAGATATTTCAGATAGAGACCAAATGACTCAACCACAAATCGACGATGCTGATAGTTCCAATGGGAATGTTATGTCGATTGAAAATTACCTAGAGGTCACACTGTCTACTGATTCAGAGGCTAGTCATACTTGTAGCCAATGTAATCAGATGTTCCCCAGTGAACATTTACTTTCCTCACATGAATGCAGTGTCAAACCTACTGAAGAGAAGAAATATCCATGTCATGTGTGCTCTGAAAAGTTTCCTAGTTATTGGGAGCTTAGAAAACATATAAATAATCATTTTCCAGGAATGTTAGACTCAAAGTCCAGTTTCTGTCATCTTTGCCAGAAAGATTACACTAAAACAGGCTTCATGAATCATCTACGTAAGCACACAGGCGAAAGGCCTTTTGTTTGTGAACTATGCCATAAAGCATTCTCTCAATCAAGCTCCCTCTCTATACATATGAAGTTCCATTTGAATGTACGAAAACATGCTTGCACTGTCTGTGAGAAAAAGTTTGTAACAAAGAGTGAACTCTCACGTCATATGACAGTACATACTAAGCAAAAATCTTATTACTGTGGAGTGTGTGACAAGGCATTTACTCGCTCTGATAATATGAAGAAACATGAGAAAACTCATGGTTGATTTTTAACATTAGTTTTGTATCTGAGACTAATAGTATCACACACTATAGACTCAAGCATTTATAAAAATTGAGTTGAATTTATTGTTTACTCTTAAATATAGTGTGTTCTACTCTTATGACAAAGCTGTATGTTCCGATTCTCTAATTGCCAAAAAATTAGTCATATGATTTTTAAATGAAAATTTTCATTATTTTATGCCAAATTTGAAAGTTTGATGGTCTAGTTCATAATTTAGTCATTATGGTGTGTTAATGTGAGTGTCCTATCACTCATGGTGTGCCGCTGTAGTTGCTTCTGAGTTAAGAATATTATTTATGCGATATATAAATGCATGTTTGGGGTACATATGTTTAATGTTAGTTAATGTCATTGCAGGTGCTTTAAATATAGAGTCACACATATCTCAATCCAAAGTTGCCTTTTTAGATATGATAAGGTGATATATTAACATGTGAATATAGGTCAAATGACCAAAGACTCCGATAGATAGCCTTAATGTTTGCTTATGATAGAAGATTGGGGCCTTCATACTTCAAAAATTTTTTTTCACTATTACATATGATTGTTCCTGCTTCTCTGAGAGCTTTAATATTATTGTATATTTTTGTACATCTTTACTTCAAGGTATAGAAATACCAGATGTAAAGTGTCCTTTTGCCAAATTTTAGATAAGTATTTAAAGTGATTCTTATGGAAGTGTGTTGTGTAACCAAAGCAATAAAAACTTGTTATGTGCCTAATCTATGTAATGTAACTGCAACAAATACCAAATAATTCTTAGTTTAGAAGATGCATAGAAGTAAATCTAGACATGCCAAATTGGATCTATAGTCAATAATTTTATATATTTATAATAATCATAATTTAATTAGTACTTTTTCATGCCACCAAGTTTTTTCTTGTAAAATGGTCTCAAAACAAAGTTTAGCCATTTCGAACAACTAGTGTACATTTAAGTGTAGTTAAGTCTATGGTAGTTAAATCAGTTAAATATTTTGATAAAATACATCACAAATGTGTAACAGTGACAATATACTTGTAATATGTAGCTAAATAATAGTTCTTATTAAATGACAAAGTCAAATATTTACTATCATTCTGTATACAAATGTTTTGCTTGGTATTTACTGTAATATTTTTATTACAAACCATTTTATAACAATGTATGTAAATTAATAAAACACTAGATGAATTATGTAATTGGCAAATAAACCAAAGTTGTATTTATAGGCAGTGCCACATTCGTAAATCAAATACAGATTGTCAATATTACATATTTTATGACAAGTTTTATAAGTTTAATAGTAGGCAATAATTACATTTTAATATATTTATTATATTTAAATATTTAGAGGTTTAGCTGCATGACTTGTTTATAGAATAAGGAATTAGATTGAGCCAAATAAAAGAAATCACAAAAATCTACAAGACTGACAATAATATTCAGAGTAGATATTAACTCTTGCACAAAAGAAACCTTATATTTATTGACGCCTATATTAAACTGCAATTTTTATTATTTATCGAAAATGCACCTTGTTATAAACTCATCATGACAATTAGAATAAGATCCGTTTAATAAAAATTATAAACTGTTTTATAAAAAAAATGTAATAATTGTCAATTTTATTAAAAGAGTTGTTTGTTGCAAGTCATGTTTTATTTCATTTCTAAACTAAATAGGTCGTTTTCCCTTTGTTCTAGGTTACGCTAACGATGTCAGCCAGGTTGCGTAATCTAAATCCATATGAGTTACATAAGCATTTAGTTAATATATACTGTTTGAATAAAAAAGGCTCTACTGCGAATCTTAAACGGGACACCTCCAGAGATCGCACAGACCTCGACGTCATTAGAGAAAACCACAAATTTCTCTGGGAAGATGACGATGTCGCCGACACATGGGAGAAACAACTAGCTAAAAAGTATTATGATAAGCTCTTCAAAGAGTATTGTATCTGCGATTTGAGTAGATATAAAGAAAATAAAGTAAGTTTGAAGTTTCTGTTTATGAACAAGATACAAATATATTTAAATGATTAATGCTATCAATTAAACAAAATAATAGTAAAATTACCAATCATGTGTAGGCTGTTAAGAGTTTCATCATCGCTTCTCATAATATAATAGTAGAGGTATTATTAAGACGACACATCGAAAAGGCTATCGCCGTACTGATCCGAGTGAATACATAATTTCTATAAAAACTTGAAAAAACGCCGTCATAAGGTCTAAAATAGCGTAGCGCCCGTGACGATTAAAAGCGCTTAGAAATTGTCAGAATCTTAAAATATATTTTTTTAAAATTATTGTTTTAAGTAATAAAAATAATGAGCAAGTAAATTATGAATATTGATGTTATGAATATATTTGAGTGATTCCCAAGCATATAGATTAAGTAATTTCGTTATAATTTCAACTATAGTGATTTTTTAGAGGTGTTTTCGCAAATAATTATGATCGAGTCAAAATTATACAATCGTGTTTTTGAACAATCAAATTCAAGATAAAGACATGAATTTACCTATATCAAAATTCAACTTTCGTTAGTGGTGTCATAGTCCTATACTATTGGATGAAAGGAGATGCATTTTTCACGGTGTCGCCTTAACGCTCAATACTCTATACATATATGCATAGTACTGATTCTATTTGCATTTGAGAATTTGTATGCGACATTGAAGATAAAATTATGTACGACGATCTCCCCTAACTATTAAAGGTTGAGCCGGGGCTGGTTCCCTCGTGAAATTCAATTAATTTTTTGCCTGAGAGACCTTCCTTTGTGTGATTTACTAGGGTGCGCAACAATAACCGTAGTGCCTTTTTGTAGGCTAAATATAGCCCCTGTACATTCACCCGCGTTGTTATATTAAAGTAACAAGAGCACATCTGCCTCCTCTTTTAATGTCACGGTTGGAAGTGACGAAAAACTTTGAATTGCTAGCGATTAGAGTGTAAATATATATATATATATATATATATATATAGAAATAAATGACATTTGATAATAGGTGCAAAAGATCGAAAGTTAAAATAAAGTAACAACCTAATGCACATCTTATGATGGAGCACTTTTTTACTTCCTCAGACAAACAGGTTTCCTCCCTGGTAAACAGAATTTTAAGAACTAAACTTTAATTTCAATCAACAATTTCATGAAATCTAGCTGTGACCGGATTCGGCTTATTATTATTTTTTTTAAATAAAATTCGTTGTGGGTGAAGTCCACACGAGAATCATTTGGTTTTATAGGCTAAAAATAAAACAAATAATTAAAGCTGATATTATATCATATATATATATATATATATATATATATATATATATATATATATATATATATATATAAATATGCATTCGGAACACTATCGAGCTTTAATTATTTTATGTATAGAATGGCATCTAAGATGGATCATAAATGGTATCCAAGATTTTATCATGGCCAATCGGCATAGTCAGAACAATTTTTTTATTTACTTCAATTTTTTTTGTATTCTTAGGTGCACTGGAAAGAACCGATTATTATATAGTACTCGTATGTACCTTTCGAAAACATGAAGTGTGACTCGATATTTTTTTTAAATTATATATTACGTGTTAAATTCTGTCTTATCATAATGATTAGACATTTTATATCTAAAATAGACTTAGGAATTTCCTATATTGTTTTTAGATGGTATAGGATTACTTCAAAGAAACTTAAAGGTTTATTCCGCACCTGGGTGCTGGTGTGTGTGTGAGATTTGCACCTGGGTGAAGAAAACCTCGTTTTCCTTTTTCTAGAGCTCGTAAAAGGAAATAGGTATAAAAGTTAGTTTAACTTTATAAGAGAAATAATTACCATAAAATTATTACTTCGTTTGGTAATTAGAGTTTCAAAATAATGTTCGATGCGGTACAATTTTACTGTATAAATATATATATATATATATATATATATATATATATATATATATATATATATATATATATATATATATAATTTTATAAGAAGTCTTATGTAAGTTCTTCATCTTCGCCAGCCCGTAAGAGTTCACAGCGTAACATGGACCTCTTCGTTTGTAGGGATGATTTGCCGTCATCACAACACTTGGCATACAGATTGGAGATCGCAATACCAGATGTTACGCTCGTCTGATGCTATCTACCCATTTGACACTACTCTCTGTAATCAGTTTGAGTCTATTTTCGAGATGTTTGTGCTGTTAGCCTATGCGGCTCTTACAGCCTTATCTGAGTCAGGGCTAGCAGCCTGCAAGGCCGCGAGCTAATTAAAAAGGGAAAGGCAATGAACGTGAGGATGATTATGATGATGATCGTTTATGATGGGCGCCCCACCGCGGCGCGGTGAGAATCGCACAGGTACGCGTGTGTACGGCGTGTACGTGGTGTGTGCTGGAACGTGTCGTGCCTGCCTACGAGTGCGACGCGCCCCATCCGTTGTCCTATTTATGCTTGTTCCAGTTGGTGTGGCTGTAGTGTCATTGTGTGATGTACCTGCGACGTGTGGGTCGACTGGATCGAGCGGTCGTGTTTTTCTTTTAAAAATAGGATAAAGGTGACAAACGTGCACACAGTCCACCTGATGGTAAGTGGATGATGTGGCCCATAGAAATCTACATTTAACCTCGATTAAGAATCAAAATGCAGATGCGTTGTCACCCTTGAGGACTAAGATGGAATGCCTCGATTCCAGTAAAACGGGTCTCCGGTTCTCTACACTCACTATACGGAACACAGCATCATTAAGCTGTTATTTTACGCTGGTATTGTGTGAGAGCGTGGTCCTTCGCCGGTCGAGCCGACCCATTCCCGCTACAACCATAATACAGCTGCAGCGTGGTTCTACCATGTCAAACGTGGTGGTTCTATCAGTACGTTACGCGGTCTACGGAGAGGGCGCGCGACGTTTGCTGTTGGAACGTAGTTGGCCGCATTTGTCACTAGCGGGTTTGGGTGGGCTTCAACGCTATCGAAGTAGCTCTGATACATCTCCTTGAATTATTCGGAGATAGAGGGAATTTCACAATCGTTGTGCAAATCGGAATTCCGTTGATACCACCGTGCACCGGGGGCTTTACGGATGAAATAGTTTTGGACTTTTTCAAGTCCAAGAAGATGGGTCTTAAAGTGTGGGCCAAAGCTACACTTTCGTAACACAATATAGGTCTAACACAGGTTTTGTACGGGTGGAATTTCCAATTTCCATTCCCAAGGGATGGGTTGACCATATAGGGAAATAACTTTTAGTTTTGAGATTTTGAGTTCACTGGTATTCTAGACCGTCGGTTAGGCATTTGGCTTTTTCGAGATCGTCTAAGGCGAGGTCGGGGTTGTCTAGCCTCGAGCAGCGGCATTGGTGATGATTGATCTGCTTTAAGAGCTCTCGTTATATTCCAGAAAGCGTCTTGAGATGGTTCAATTATTTCTAAGCGGTTGTCACAGTTGTCATTTCTAAATTAGGCTATTCGTTGTTTAATCTCATTTTGTAGAGAACGTACCCGAAGTTTGTTCTTCCGTGCGATAACGATCATAAGATATTAGCGCGGAATTCTTTGCTCGAACCACACGAACCTTCTTAACCTTCCCTTGGGAGCATTCTTAAACCGCATAAGTTAATTGAGTTGATAGGGCGTTAATCGCCCTAGTGGCTTCATCCGGCGAGTCTATCTTGTCCGGTATAGTGTCTAAATGTTAGAAAAATATATACTAATACACTTTGTCATTTTTGATGACATGATTTTTTAAAGGTAAAATAGTTAAAATTTCATTATGATAAAAATTTGTTTGTATTATGTAATAGTTAATAATAATTAATATGTATGTACTTTAACTGAAAAGGTTGCCCTGCGTTGGCGCGTAGAAAGAGAAGTCGTGTTAGGCAAGGGCCAGTTTCAATGCGGTGCGAAGCAGTGTAACAGCTCTCAAGGTCTGAAGTCCTGGGAAGTTAATTTCGCTTACGTCGAAGATAATGAGAAGAAAAACGCCCTTGTAAAACTTCGTAAGTTAAATTTACTGTATTTACGCGGACCTAATTTTTTTTTTACTTTATATGCCATTTCCTGACGGTATTTTACCTTTGCGTTACATACATGGTAAATATTTCTTTTTTCTTTTTAGACATTATCAATAGCTCTCAGAACCAGGAATTGAACCCGGCTTATGTTTATGTATGTGATTACGTTTATGTGTATAAAATTTAAGGCAATAGAAAAAACTCTATTCTACTAAGGAGCCATTCATAAAATACGTTACCCAAACTTTCGCCTTTTTGGCCCTCTTAACTGATCGTCAAGCTGCGTCACATTTTCGCCTCTACACGAGGCATCCTCAGATGAAGTAGACTGTGGAGGCTGCCACGATCTTCGCCAACACTAATCCCATCACCACGACTCCTAGCACTCTCTCCGCTCTCCACACGCTCCTATTTTTACAAGTAGTTGATCAGCGAGTTGTATAAATAGCAACTATTTCGGCTCGCCGCTCACTTTTCAGACACCGCAGAGACTACTTCACCTGTAGATGCCTCGTGTAGAGGCGAAACACGTACCGTATTATAGAGAGTGGTGTGGCGTCCAAAATCCCAGAAATATGCAAAATTGTACAAAAACTGTACAAAGTTCAAAAACTTTCACTGGTGTCGTTGGTATCGCAAAGTTATAGGGCATCCCTTTTCATTTTTTATCGTATTTTGACGGTCAGTGGCAAGAGGAATCATTCGGATTAATTCTGGTTGGCAAATTTCACCATCGCACATAGCGACAGAATTCGCGATACCATTCACACCATCTTCACCACTGCGATTTATCAGAAGAGTTCTTCTTCGCACAAAAAAGTTTGAGGAATCGGCTACTCCTCTTAAAAGGCCGGCAACGCAGAAATCCTCTGTATGTTGTTGCATTTGTTAATCGGCGATTGAGCGGCGGTTAGTCACTTAACATCAATGAACCGCGTGCTTGTTTGACGTTCTTTTATTTAAAAAAAACTTAAAAAAGGTTCTCTATTGACGATACTTTAATTTTTAACCGATTTTGATAATTCTTTTTTTATTAAATAGGATACACTTCAGGGGTTGTTCCATATATATGAGAAAAAAAATACCCCCGAAAGGGTGGAAAAATAGGGTATGATTTTTTTTTAAAATATAACTCTTTAAACGAAAGGTAACTAGGATAGTTACCATGAGCTTGTGTTACTCAAAAGGATATATTATATATTATTATAGTTGTAGCATTAATGGGTCGGCTCGGCCGGGGAAGGGTCACGCTTTCACAAAAAACCGACGTAAAATGACAGCTCGATACTGTTGTGTTTCGTATGATGAGTGTAGAGAACCGAAGACCCCTTTTACTGTATACGATTCCAGCTTAGTCCTAGGGGTGACAACGCATCTGTATTTCGATTCTTAATCGAGGATAGATGTAGATGTCTATGGACCACAGCATCCACTTACCATCAGGTGGGCTGTGTGCTCTCTTGTCACCCTTATTCTATAAAAAAAAAACATTAAAATTTTAACTAAGAACTAAAAGCCAATAAGATAACAATATATAATTCAGGACACACGAGTGTATGTGGCACTCCACTTAAGTCAGGGTGTATCAAAAAGGGCACGTATGGCAATGCACAATGCTGTGTTAGCCCCTAACTTAAGGTACGGTAGTGTAAGTTGGGTGTGGTAGAAGAAGCAGACGATTAAAATCAATTCTTTAGAAATACGGTCGTTAGAAAGTACTTTAGGGCCGACTCTGAATGATATTGTGCGAAATAAGTACTAAATTAGCGATCCGCCCCGGGTTCGCACGGGTGATTTTTGGATCTCGACAGCAACGCCATCTACCGGTCCAATAGTGAATCTAAACCATTCGGGAACTCACTCGAACGCACATAAAAAAGTTATTGAAAACCGTTCGAGACGTTTTCGAGTTTTAGCGAGATTCATCATCATCATCATTACAGCCCTTCACAAGTCCACTGCTGAATATGCTGATATGAAGGCATCCCCCAAGGTATGCCACAAAGCACGGTCCTGAGCCACCTGCATCCATCGACTTCCTGCATGTCTTACCAGGTCGTCGCTCCATCTAGTGGGGGGTTGCCCTACACTTCGCCTACCGGTACTAGGCTTCCACTCGAGAACCTTTTTTCCCCAACGGTTATCGGTTCTTCGAGCTATATGGCCGGCCCATTGCCATTTCAGCTTACTAATCCGTTGGGCTATGTCGGTCACTCTGGTTCTACTGCAGATATCTAATTAGCGAGATTATCGGACTGCAATTGATATTTACATAGGTATAGAAAGATAAATCACATTTCATAGCATGTTACTTTTGTTAAGTAGGATATAGCTTAGAGCGGGTTGCGGGTCTTCTTGTGGGAGTTTTAGACAAAAAAGCTCTATTTTGAACTATGAACACAGAATAAAAAATAACTATTAACTTCCACAGACCTGACGTTTGATAGAGATGTCTGTTACATAAAATTCCACTTAAAATTAGTTTTCCAAAATCTCGTCGTCGCAGAAGGGGGGAGGTACAAAAATCAAATTTTAAACTATAGTTCCTATGGACTTACAATTGCGTCGTTTAACCTGGAATCCTACCCAGCTATATCCTAAATTTTATTGTGTCAAGATTTAGCGAGGAATTAGTGAAAATTAGTTACTAAAGAAATAAAATTAGTGACCTAATAAACTTAAGGAGATGTAGCCTTCTTTTGGCACGATTCTAACTTGAATTTACGCTAGAACCCTTACCTTGAGAACATCATTATTGTCTGCGACTGAGATATTTTAGGATTGAGTGACCAACCAGTTAGTGACTTTCATATACCTAGCTTAAAACATTGCTATAAAAGAACCAGAGATATTCATATGTCTATCCAGGGGCGGATCTATATATGGGCTTTTTGGGCTGTAATCTAGGGCCCCGTGGATATACATTTCTTATCGTATAGTATTATAGATCTTAAAGAGACCCCAGCCCTCATTGAAGAAAACTCGAGAGCCTCAAAAATAATTATGATGATATTATGAAACTTTTTGTGTGCACGTTTGTTACCCTTCTTTTATAAAAAAAAACATGCTACCGCGCAGAAAAATTAAAATAGGACGCTAAACGTTGCGTTGGGTTTGCTGGGCTGTTTTGGCCTTTGGATTTAAATAGAAGTCAAGTCTATGAGACATATAGTAATAAATTCAAATTTGTAGGATAATAATATGGCAAACATAGCTCTGGAAAATGTACGCAATATTATTGTATATTATCCAGACGGCGTAGACGAACATTTAGTGAATGAGTTCATTCGTTTAAAATCTTACTAAAGTGACTGCAAGAGGTGTAATACCTATTGCAGTGAAATGCTTTATGAAAATAAACTTGTTGATGTGTTTTCCCAAATTGCTTTACTATATTATAGATTTTTTAACGTTGTCAAGGAGACTTCACTAGCTGTGAAGCGGAACGCTTTTCTCCAGGATGACGTTTAAAGAAAACAAATAGGTATAGGTCAACAATGTTGAACAATCGACTAAATAATTTATCAGTTCTTTCCATAATTTAAAATTTAACAAAGGACTTATAATGTGACGAGCAAATAAATGAATTTGCAGCGCAAAAATCTAGAAAAGTCTTTATAATTTATTTAGCATCTACACAGTACACACCTGTTAATTTCTTTTGCAATAATGTATTACAGTTGCTGTTTGTGTATCTCAGTTGTATTAAATATATAAAATATTGTCCATTGTCCTAATTTTTCCAGACCGTAAATATGATTATAGAAAACATTTTTTTAAAGATATTAATAGTAACTTTGCAACCATCCGCTCAATTAAATAAAAGGATGTGTCGTACCTAGTTTGAAGAGCACCTTCCACTCTCCCTCAATTGCGTGCACTAATCCCGTCACCACTAATCCCAGCACCACTACTCCCAACACCACTACTCCCAACACCACTACTCCTAACACCACTACTCTCAACACCACTATTCTAGGAAAGACACGACACATGTTTGGCTCCACACGAGGCATCTTCAGGTGATGTAGACTCTATGGCGGCTGACCGCTAAGATCACTTCGCGATGCTCTTCTCTTCTCTGCTCTTCTCTTTGAGGTGCTCTTCAAACTAGGTAAGACACATCATTTTATTTAATTGAGCGGATGGTTGCAAAGTAACTATTAAGATCTTTATTATACTTAATGGATTTCCGCAAAGTAACACCTTATTATATCAAACAGTTTTTTGTCAAAGTGGCCATTAGTTTGATTGATTCAGTAGGCCCCAAGTAGTGTTAACCCAGACCTCACAAATTCACGGTCCGTCCCTGTGTCTGTCATATCTAAGTATCATAGAATGTAAATCATATAGAGGTCGGTGGAATAACCCCAGAACGCCTATGTATTTTGCTGTGAAATAAATATCTATGTGTCAAGATTTTGTGACTAATTACTAATTAGTGTGTGTTAGTTTTAAAAATCAATCAGCACTTAGTGAAAACCTTACTTAAAGCGCTCTACATACATTTCAATATTTGTACAGTCATTTACACATTGTACTCGTACAAATCTTTTAATTTGTTTTGAGTTTTTTAAACTTAAAAAAAATATTATAACACATCAATTTTCGTATTGTTTTTTCGTTGTACATAAGTAAAACCAATTTTTAGAACTATCCGATATGTAGTGATTGCCAGTACGGTTTCCGTTGGGGTCGCTCATCTGGTGACCTTCTGGTTTACCTGGCCGTTAGTTTGGACATTGCGAAGGAATTTAATCGAGTGTGACACAAAGCGCTTCTTTCGAAGCTTCCTTCCTATGTGCTTCCGAAGATATTGTGCAATTCGATCACCAGTCATCTTGCAGAGCGGAGCATCAAGTTCGTAGCAGACGGTGCATAGTCCAATTACAAGCTTATTAATGCTGGTGTCCACAAGGCTTCGTGCTACCATCTACGCTTCTTCTGAATGTTGCAAACGAGTAACATTAATTGCTATCCGGACGACATCACTGGTGATGGATAACACCGGCTTTGCCAATATTTGTCGAGTACCGAAACAAACTTTTAGTTAATCTCTCATTTTACTTGACTAAACCTAGTCCGGTTTAATCCCTAGAAAACACGAGGTTACGCGTTAGAGTCGTGGTAGCTCAGTTAGTTAGCGCTCGCTGTAAATTTCACAGTACGCGAGCCAACCGGCTTCGATCCCCGCCGGCACCAATGAAATTTTAAATTGCAATTTTAAGTGCTGATTTACCACATGCTCGACGGTAAAGGAAAACATCGTGAGGAAACCTGCATGTCTGAGAAATTAAAAAAAATTCGAAGACATGTGAAGTTCGCCAAGACCCTCTCAGAAATGAGAGGAGGCCTGTGCCCAGCAGTGGGACGTATATAGGCTGTAACTTTACTTTACTTTACGCGTTTACCACTAAAAGAACCCCTTTGTCGTATCTCTTCAATTTCAGGACACTCCCATTATCGAAGTCCTCAAGATCGAGATATCGAATTACGTGCAGTTTTGTGGTCATTTGGAAGCGAAAAGCTGAGAGCTAGAGGCTAATTTGCCTGTGAAAAGCTTGGCGTGATCAGCAGAGCGAAACAATTTTTCATGCCGGCACACCGCTTGCACTTTACAAAGCGCAGGTTCGGCCTCACATGGAACCTGTTCTCACCTCTGGGCCGAGGTTCCCCAGTGCCAGCGCTTTCCACTTGACTGGACCTAGCGCAATCGAATCGTTGACTGCTCTCTGATAGGCTCGATTCACTAGCGCTGCGAATAGATGTTGCACGCCTTAGCATTTGCTATCACATTTAGGTACCACGGGGAGTGATCTGAGTAAGCGACAGCAGCCTAAAGACAGGGCGCGGACCGCGAACTCAAAAAGGTCGTAGGTTCGAATCTGCCATTCGACTACTAGCGTGAACCACTCGTAACACAAGCAATTTAAGCTTACCACGAGTGGTTAAGGAGAATATTAGTAATGTTTATAGCATTGTTAATATAATTTTTTTTTAAATAAAAAAAATTGTTCGGATTAATTCCAGCCGTCAAATTTCACATACGCACTTCGCGATAAAACTCACGTTACTATCCACGTCATCTGAATACTTGGCGGTCAACTATTGTGCTATTTACTTGGAGGTTTATGTCTCGCTAGACTTCTTTGTGGAATTGTTAACCACCGGCGATTTTTCAGGGCTAATACGACTTAGTAGGGACATTCAAGAAACTAGTTTGCTTTTTAAAGGGCCGGCAACGCACCTGCAATTTTGCTGGTGTTGCAGTTGTTCATGGGCGACGGTCGAAACCATCAGGTGAGCCGTATGCTCGTTCGCCTCCTCTTCTATAAATCCTGTCTTCTATATATCCTCTTAAAAATATAATGTTATAAACCGTAGACTGTCGCATAATTTTTACTTAGATCATTCATTTATCATAATTTCTATCAAAAGTGCACTGACAAAAGTGACTGAAGTGGACTTCGTCATAGATTTCCTCATGGGGTATATTTTTTCATAGCTGCCACGCTTAGCAGGCGTGTTGTAAGCTGCATTATTTTATTATTTTATTTGCTATCGGGAAGATGATGCTGCCAATCTCTCGTTTAACTTTTCTCTGTCGCCTCTTGAGGAAATTCTCGAAGAAGTTCTCGAATTGCAGCCTCATGCTAGTGAACGCCTACCTTAAGGCGACACCGTGAAAAAATGCATCTCCTTTCATCGAATAGTATAGGACTATGGCACCACTAACGAAAGTGGAATTTTGATATGGGTAAATTCTTTATCTTGAATTTGATTGTTCAAAAACACGATTGTATAATTTTGACTCGATCATAATTATTTGCGAAAACACCTCTAAAAATCACTATAGTTGAAATTATAACGAAATTAGTTAATCTATATGCTTGGGAATCACTCAAATATATTCATAACATCAATATTCATAATTTGCTTGCTCATTATTTTGATTACTTAAATCAATAATTTAAAAAAAATATATTTTAAGATTCTGACAATTTCTAAGCGCTTTTAATCGTCACGGGCGCTACGCTATTTTAGACCTTATGATGGCGTTTTTTCAAGTTTTTATAGAAATTATGTATTCACTCGGATCAGTACGGCGATAGCCTTTTCGATGTGTCGTCGCTATAGGATGTTACGCGTGCACGAATAGTGAAAATGCTGCTCGGTATCTTCATCGGCGTGCGCTGCTCAATCGATAATATATGTGCAAATAGTGTATTTATAATTATAAATATAATTTGTATCATTTTTTCCAGCAGAGCAATTTTTGTAAAAGCCAATTTAAGTTTTAAATTGAATTTTCATTTATGACGATTTTGTGTACTTATGTATGTGATTTACGATTAATAAGAAGTTATTATACACAATATATTATCTTAAGTGTTTCGTTTTAATTTTATGGTCTTATAATTTACCGCCGCGCCGTTTACTGGTGACGTAGTAGAATCCCGTACCCCATATAAATCCGTGGGTGTCGCAGAAAGCGACAGAGGGAAATTGACACAAGGGATGGGTAGAAGCGTCTGTCTGCTAGCAACGTAGGTAAGCGCGACTATAGCTAATATCCCCCAAATCTATGAGGGTGGCTTATGTTTTACTCCGCTACTTCTGCAGCGTGCTTTGATAGGAGATTATAATAATAAACGTAAGTAAAAGTAAAGTTACAGCCTATATACGTCCCACTGCTGGGCTTGGGCTTCCCCTCATTTCTGAGTCTTCGAAATATTTTTTTTCTTATTCCTCAGACATGCAGGTTTCCTCATGACGTTTTCCTTCACCGCCGAGCACGTGGTAAATCAGCACTTAAAATTGCAATTAACAATTTCATTGGTGCCGGCGGGGATCGAACCCGGGTTACTCGCGTTCTGTTATATTTACAGCGAGCGTTAACCACTGAGCTACCACGGCTCTCTCTCCGCACGTCATCACTTGAGTGCGCTTCTTAATCCTACACGATCACATGATCAATTAATAATAATATGATGATGATAATTAACTTTATTCAAAATTAAGTAAAAGTGTAAAAAACCCTTAACATTAGTAGTGGATATCTTAAGACCGCGACTACAAAATGCTATGCAATCTTAATTTTTGTCGAACTGTATTATAACTCCACGAAGACGATTTCTGTACATTGATTATTTTTTATCCTTGTAAATCTGCAGAGCAAAATCTCATTAATGGTGTAGTGTCATCGGGACGATTCCTTTTAAATAGTAGGTAATGATAAAATAGTTAACATGTGACAATTCATCATATTATTCATAATCAATACATCATCATAAATTATTGTGCCAGGTTTGTGCCCAGATTGTTCAGAAAAACTAAACTATAAATCGAAAAAGCGGGAAGTGAAGAGATTGAAAAAGAGCCAGAAAAAAAAGAAGAGAAAAGATAAAACCAGCAGCGAGGTTGTCACGAGCGACGACGAATGTCAACCTGATTTAGAAAATCAGCAGGAGCCTAGCACTTCGCAGAAAGCTTTAGAGTCCGAAGTAGACAAAGCAGAGTCGCTATGGAAGAAAGGTAATAATATCTAATAATCAGTCTGTTTAACCAACATCAAAAAAGTAGGAAATTATCAATTCGATTATATTTTCTTTTTTAGTCCTTGTAAGACATCTATCTCCGAGGATAGTAAACTGATTTTGCTAATTCAAAATTAATCATCATACTATTGTGGTATTATATACGAGCAACACCGCTGGCAGACCTGCTGAGTACCAACATTTATTAACCAACTTTCACACTGGTCCCTTATTATGAATTTCGACTCTTCGGTCTCAGCAGCAGACCGTTTTTCGGGTCAGCTAATTCGAGGCAGCGTGATGCGGGCTGGCTTGAATTTCACATTTATTCATTAGTTTATCAATTTAAGCCCATCAAAAGCTCACCGCAGAACTAAAGCCTGTCCCTTGGATTGCCTCCTAGGGAGGATTTTGTCCAAGAGTGAGGAGTACCTAATGTTCTTTTAAGTTAATGATAAAACTAGATCTATGCAAATGGGTGCGTTTGGCAGAAAAAAGCGCTAGCGAGCGCTTGTAAGCAAAATGGCGATCGTAAGCGGTAAGCGCTGTTAAATCGTAAGTAGCTATTTTCCTCCAGGACACGATGTTAGTTTTAATCGGGGAACCTAACCTAATTTAAATATATGTTTATAAAGTATTCATATTAAAAACTTATCAATCATGAATTTTTAATAACATGTATATGTTTATTCATGTCAATATATTACTTAAAACTAATATTGCACAAAACAACTTATAAACTCTACTTCAAAACAAACAAATTAAGACGAGGCATGACCCTAAACGCAAGTTTTATAATGCCTCAAAGTAAATGATCCACTGCAGTAAACAAACCCAGAAAAATGTATGATATTGTCCAGGATATATCCTAGTTAGATAGTGTGTTGAAAACATGATACTACTAATTTAATACGATAGAAAAAAATCACAAACATACCTCCAAAAATTTCTTTTAACTAGTAAAAACCATACTAGTATACATTCAATCATTCTGATTTTTTGTCAGATTTTTATACATTGAACATATTATCGTTATAGTGTTTTAATTTTTTAGTCCAACTAATAGTTTTTTTTAATCCGCATATTCTTATTTCTGAAATAATACGTACGGATGTTTGCGTAAACGCCTGTGCAGTCTAGCGGTGGGTAGTAGCGGCTTCTTTGAGTAACGAAACGAATCTATCTATCGAATATCAATAGCGGCTTTTGAAACACTCTATTTTAATAGAGGGTTTGGAAACACTCTATTTTAATAGCGGCTTCAATAGAGTGTTTCACGACGTGTTCAATTGCAAAACGTTGCGACCGTTGTTACCGTTTCGTATAGAATTAGACATGGTGTTAATGGTTAAATTTATTTATTTGTTAAATCAGTTCGCATGGTTTGATAAAAATATCACTTCGAAGTACACTGGCATTACTTCGAGACATTTTTGATAACAATCACATAAAGTTTTAGTATTATTTTTACACTTAGTTATTTACACTAATTACTGTACAATTATTATTATCAACACTAATATATACAATTATATTTAGTTTTTATTTTACTAAAAATATTATTATTGTTGCACAAAAAGGAAACAAACGCGCCTAAAAAGTAAAAACAAACCGTGTCATTAAACTTAAACAAAAGACTAATGTAAACCGGGCCAAGGCCACTTAAATTATGGTATTTGAACTATTTTTTGTTAAAAACATGTACACTTACTTTCTCATTTCTAATATCGCATCTATACGAAGGAAATAGAGTCATAGGTCAAATGCAAAAGCACACGCGCTCACTCGACTTTCGACAACCGGTGGTACTTCTACCACAGCGTAAAAAGTCGGTTTTTTTACTCATGTGCTTCTACTTCAACAGCCGAAGCCGTCGCCGACGCGTCGCGAAAATAGCCGAATAAACGTTTTGTTACTGATCGCTCGTTCGTGATTCGTGAAACGTGAATCGTGTTACTGAGTAAAACGTCTACTGTAATAGATAGTTTCGTTGCACTGCAATAACCCGCTACTCGCTATTGTGTGAATAGATAGTTTCAGTAACTAGTTACGTTTCGTAACGACCACTCCTAGTGCAGTCACTGCCGGCCGAGGCCTGGTGCTGTAGAGACGTGTCGCTCTTTTTGCCGCAGTATTTACGTTAAGATTTTTTAAGGACGCGTTTACAAAATTGATATAGGTATAGAATCGAACTATTACATTGACATGAGTCACGCACACAAGTGTACGCACGGTTGGCTGCGGGAATCGTAGTCAAATAAAATTATTTTAATAATTTGAGATTTTGATTTCTTACACCACAAAAATATACTTAGATACATAGTGTAATAAGACTTAGTTACGAGGTACGAATACCTACTCTAGAGACTGCTTTGCACTGGGAGCCCTCTGCTGGCACTGAGAAGTTAGCTGTGGACTTTGGGCTGATTTTGTCAGTTATGATAAGACCTTACCTCCGGACTTGATGGAGTGACCTGAAAGTGAACTTCAGTAACTAATACTGGAACACCTGGACTAGTAGAACTAGGTGTGCCGACTTTGGGCTCGTTTTATTAGGTATGACGAGCCCTTACCTCCGGACTTGACGGAGTGACCTGAAGGTGTACTTTAGTAATCGGTATTGGAGCAGGTCGCCGAGTAGGTATTACTAGGTGTGCCGAGTTTGGGCTCGTTTTGTTAGGTATGACGAGCCCTTACCTCCGGACTTGACGGAGTGACCTGAAGGTGTACTTTAGTAATCGGTATTGGAGCAGGTCGCCGAGTAGGTATTACTAGGTGTGCCGAGTTTGGGCTCGTTTTGTTAGGTATGACGAGCCCTTACCTCCGGACTTGATGGAGTGTCCTGAAGATGTACTTTGGTAATCGGCATTGGAACAGGTCGCCGAGTACTATTAGGTGTGTCGAGGTTGGGCTCGTTTTGTTAGGTATGACGAGCCCTTACCTCCGGACTTGACGGAGTGACCTGAAGGTGTACTTTGGTAATCGGCATTGGAACAGGTCGCCGAGTACTAATAGGTGGGCCGAGTTTGGGCTCGTTTTGTTAGGTATGACGAGCCCTTACCTCCGGACTTGACGGAGTGACCTGAAGGTGTACTTTGGTAATCGGCATTGGAACAGGTCGCCGAGTACTACTAGGTGTGCCGAGTTTGGGCTCGTTTTGTTAAGTATGACGAGCTCTTACCTACGGACTTGACGGAGTGACCTGAAGGTGTACTTTGGTAATCGGCATTGGAACAGGTCGCCGAGTACTACTAGGTGGGCTGAGTTTGGGCTCGTTTTCTTAAGTATGACGAGCTCTTACCTCCGGACTTGACGGAGTGACCTGAAGGTGTACTTTGGTAATCGGCATTGGAACAGGTCGCCGAGTACTACTAGGTGTGCCGAGTTTGGGCTCGTTTTGTTAAGTATGACGAGCTCTTACCTACGGACTTGACGGAGTGACCTGAAGGTGTACTTTGGTAATCGGCATTGGAACAGGTTGCCGAGTACTACTAGGTGTGCCGAGTTTGGGCTCGTTTTGTTAGGTATGACGAGCCCTTACCTCCGGACTTGACGGAGTGACCTGAAGGTGTACTTTGGTAATCGCTATTGGAACTGGTCGCCGAGTACTACTAGGTGGGCCGAGTTTGGGCTCGTTTAGTTAGGTATGACGAGCCCTTACCTCCGGACTTGATGGAGTGACCTGAAGGTGTACTTTGGTAATCGGTATTGGAACAGGTCGCCGAGTACTACTAGGTGGGCCGAGTTTGGGCTCGTTTTGTTAAGTATGACGAGCTCTTACCTCCGGACTTGACGGAGTGACCTGAAGGTGTACTTTGGTAATCGGCATTGGAACAGGTCGCCGAGTACTACTAGGTATGCCGAGTTTGGGCTCGTTTTATTAGGTATGACGAGCCCTTACCTCCGGAATTGACGGAGTGACCTGAAGGTGTACTTTGGTAATCGGTATTGGAACAGGTCGCCGAGTACTACTAGGTGTGCCGAGTTTGGGCTCGTTTTGTTAGGTATGACGAGCCCTTACCTCCGGACTTGATGGAGTGACCTGAAGGTGTACTTTGGTAATCGGCATTGGAACAGGTCGCCGAGTCCAAACTCGGCCCACCTAGTGGTACTCGGCGACCTGTTCCAATGCCGATTACCAAAGTACACCTTCAGGTCACTCCGTCAAGTCCGGAGGTAAGGGCTCGTCATACATAACAAAACGAGCCCAAACTCGGCACACCTAGTGGTATTCGGCGACCTGTTCCAATGCCGATTACCAAAGTACACCTTCAGGTCACTCCGTCAAGTCGGAGGTAAGGCTCCATACCAACAAAACGAGCCCAAACTCGGCACACCTATAGTACTCGGCGACCTGTTCCAATGCCGATTACCAAAGTACACCTTCAGGTCACTCCGTCAAGTCCGGAGGTAAGGGCTCGTCATACCTAACAAAACGAGCCCAAACTCGGCCCACCTAGTGGTACTCGGCGACCTGTTCCAATGCCGATTACCAAAGTACACCTTCAGGTCACTCCGTCAAGTCCGGAGGTAAGGGCTCGTCATACCTAACAAAACGAGCACAAACTTGGCACACCTGGTAGTACTCGGCGACCTGTTCCAATGCCGATTAATAGAGTACACCTTCAGGTCACTCCATCAAGTCCGGAGGTAAGGGCTCGTCATACCTAACAAAACGAGACCAAACTCGGCACACCTAGTAGTACTTAGCGACCAGTTCCAATACCGATTACCAAAGTACACCTTCAGGTCACTCCATCAAGTCCGGAGGTAAGGACTCATCATACCTAACAAAACGAGCCCAACCTCGGCACACCTAGTAGTACTTAGCGACCTGTTCCAATGCCGATTGCCAAAGTACACCTTCAGGTCACTCCATCAAGTCCGGAGGTAAGGGCTCGTCATACCTAACAAAACGAGACCAAACTCGGCACACCTAGTAGTATTTAGCAACCTGTTCCAATGCCGATTGCCAAAGTACACCTTCAGGTCACTCCA